TTGATCTCTACCAGGTTGGTGTGGTTAGGCCCTTTTAGGGCTGCGGCATAACTCCTCTGCTCCTGCTGCTCGGGCCGGTGTGGGTGTGGACCAGGCTGCTGCTCTGCTGAGATGCTGTTGTTCCTCGCTGGAGCTGCTCTGGGTCTTTTGTGGTTGTGCTGATGTTGGTCCCAGGAGAGAGGGCCCTGTGGTGCAAGGTGCTGTTGCTGGGGTCTCCGCTGCTGTGGTGTAGGCTGATGGTAGTAGAGAGCAGGCTGTGGATGATGAGGTCGAAGTACAGATCCAGGTCCATGTTGAGGACGAGGTACAGGCCCAGGTTGAGGTACAGGTCCAGGGCGGTGGGGTGGGGGCATAGTGGTTTGGCCATAGGGTGCAGGCCTGTGGGTAGGGTTTGTAGAGTACTGCTCAGCCGAGCCTGGAGAGGTGATGTTCTGTGGTGCTGTTGGGGGAAAGCGTCTCACTGGCTGAAGGGTAGTGGTTGCTCTGGCGCTCTTTGGGGGGCTGCCAGGGGTTCGGCCCAGGGCCACGTCTTTAAGAGTTTTGGCAAACACACGAACACTGTCTTTATAGAGGTGGACGTCGTCGTAGAGGTGGCTGAGGTCCAGTGTAGGATGATGTGCCAGGTGAACATTTGGCATTCCTGCACATCTACGTGTGATGTCTGCATTTACTCTTTGTATGGTGCGAGGATGGAAGTCTGATCTGGGCAGGATGGTGGAGATGACTACTTTTGAAGTCGGGAAGGTTCGTGTTGCTTTTATAGCCACCCGTGTCACTGAATCTGCCACTCGCTGTTGTTGTGTCCGCAGGTCATTCGTGCCCACATGGATGATGATGTGGCTGGGTTCACCCAGAATCTCCCTGTTCAGTTGTTGTAGGGCAATATCCGTTTTTGGGCACCAGAGTTTTAATGTTTTGTGACCAGGAAAGAGCTGTTTTTCATTGATAAATTTGCCATTTGAATCGATTAAGAGGATGACTTCTGCTTTCTGTGGGTCACTTCCTTGCTCTTGGGGGCCCTCGGGGGCCTCTGTCTGTGGTGTCCGTGGCACTGCTGCTGGAGTGCTGGACTCGGGTGCTGCTGCTGTCTGGGTGGTGGGAGAGCTGGGCCGCTGCTGACAGATACAGCTGAGGCTCTCTGTCTGTTCTCTCAGGCTTTGTATTTCTCCATCTCTAAGCAGCAGCTCCTGCCTGACTGTTTCCAGTTCTTTATTCATGGTCTCTCTATCTTGCTGCAGTTTGCATATCTCTCTTTTTAACTCCTCAACACTAGTTTCAAAGTCTCGTGTGAGGTGACTGATTTTATTGTCCAGGTGTTGTAGGCGTTCGCTGGATATTGCATGGGAGAGTGTTAGTTCCCTGAGCTCCACCAGCTCCACCTCTTGTAGGGAGAGGCTGTTTCTGATCTGATTGACGGACTGTTCCAGCTGTGGGTCGTGTTCAGCGGGGTTAAGCTCCATCTCCTCTAGCCTCTCCCCTGAGCTCTGGGCGTCACAGCCTCCTGCAGCATCACTGTTTGCTCCTTGTGCTTGTTTCTCAGCCTCTGCCAGAGCTTTTAGGATGGTGAAGTTTGCTTGGACAGAGCCGAGACATGCTTCAGTCCCCTGGAACATTATCGTTCCATTATGGTAGATATTTACTGTTAGAAATGCCTTGTTAGTGTCATTTTCTTCATAAATTTGGATTTGTCTGCCGTTACAGATGCCTAGTTTTCTATAACTTTTGTAGTGTTTACAGATGACTGTGTGCCAAAGATTGCAGTCTGCTGTGTAGAGGAGCAGATTAGTGACGATGGCTCTGTCCCCTTTTTGTGAAACGTCTGCCATGAGGGTCTCTGGGTTGTTCTTCAGCAGGCTGTATTTATAGGTTTTCTTGTCTTTCGCGCTCTTGATAGTGTGTGGGTATGTGATGGAGTGGGGCAGGGGCTCTCCTGCAATGGCTTCCATCGTTGTTGTTTTTTGATTTTTTCTGTAACTGTCACTTTTTAACTCACTCTCAGACTGCTACTAGTTTTCTATACTTTACTATATTTCAACTGAACTAAAATACTTTAGTCCTGCCTCACTAAGTTGTAAGAGTCTTTTCAAATGCAGTGTAGATGGAGATTCAGTCTTGCCTGTTATTTGGATGTGAACTGATTCCAGTATCTTCTGCTTTATCCAGTTTTCCTCCTGATTGCTCTGTTTT